TCGAGAACGGGTGGCGATATCGAGATGCGGTTTTCACTAAAATTTAGCAAATTTTAAGGTGACTAAGGGTCTGTGAAGTAAATAGTATCGTTCCATTTAACTTTTCTTCAAAAATCACAAAAATATGTAATCGCTGCAGATAACGTCCTCTAGCTCATTTGTTTTAAAGCAGACGGTCTTACTGAAAATATCTTTAAAAAGAGCATAAAATGCTCTTTCAAACAACACCGAAAACATTCAAATCGGTTGAATGGTCTAGGAGATATTAAAATGTAAACATATGAAAACGCATTGGCCTCCCCCTCCCTTATTATGACAGATATGAGAAATATCGCTAAACAAAAGTGATGCGGTATTATCCAAGCTATTAAATGATGTTGTCAAAATTATAGCTCATCGTCTAAGTTTCTGAGATAGCGGGAACTTTATGTTTCTCAATGGCAGTTACGCCCCCTAGCGGTCGAATTACGAACTTCAAACTAATTTCCAGCTATTTCTCTTGCCCACTTTACTTATAAGGATTTTTTTCCCAAACCTCTAGGCCTTACCGTTGTTGAGATACAGCCGCTCCGTACGCTTAACGGGACACCCTGTATGTATATATAGTTAAAAAAGAGAATCCGACCCTCATGTAAATCTTTAAACTCTAACTTCAAATTATGTACGTCTAAATAACGAATTATCTCCATTGCCTTTGCGATGTTAAATTTATATAGATCAAATCCTCCATTTGCTACATCCTAAGACGACGTGCCTGAAGAAGACCAACTTATTGGTCAAAACGTAACGTAGCACCGATTTAAAAATTCTCAAACAGTGGTTTTTTTGGAAAAATTCACACCTATAATTATACATATACGATGAATATGGAGTCAACATTAGCTAAATTAACTCTAACCCACTAATACTAGGTTTGCACCTCTACAATCAGTTTCTAGTCCCAATACGAAGGTTGCCGTATTCATTATTTTACAAAAAAAAAAACAAAAATCTTCTTAAGAAGTATTTGAAAAGAACAATATTTGGAGTCGTCAATTCTGGATTAATAAAAAATTTAAATGTATCTACCTATTATTACTATGTTACTTTTTTCTTTAACGTATTTAAGAAATTAATTACTAATAATAATTACTTTACTGACCACGGCGTAATTGTTCAAAAGTCTACAACATCATCTTATAAAGCCAAGGCCGCTGGCGGTCGAGGCGCCACAATATAATGTGCAGTTCCAGGATGGTATAATGTTAAATACTGAGCTTCAGTCGCAAGCGACCTCGGCTTAATTAGTCAAAAGATTTACTTCACTAGGATTAGCACTAGATTTAGTTCTATGTTTCTAAGTGTTAGTTCTAGTTTTAGCTCAATAAAAATATACAACAACTTAGCAACTTGCTAACACTAGCACTATCATTATAGGCCTACTGTTAGTTCTAGTTTGAGTTCTCAATGAAAATATACAATCTAACGTTGACTAACAACTAAAATTAGAACTAACACTGCATTCGGGTTTAGCCTTAATGGACGTACAATCTTTATATTTATATTTTCTATTTCTTTTAGGGATCTCGTCGTCGACCAATAAGAGCTGTACTACATGTAAGCGGAGATGGTTTAAGAGTAGTCGAGGAAGAAACAAAAGGTTTAATAGTAGATCAAACGATTGAAAAAGTTTCATTTTGCGCACCGGATCGTAACCACGAAAGGGGTTTCAGTTACATTTGCAGAGATGGTACAACAAGACGATGGATGTGTCATGGATTTCTGGCAATGAGAGAATCGGGCGAACGATTGAGTCACGCGGTCGGCTGTGCCTTCGCGGTTTGTTTGGAGAAGAAGCAGAAACGCGATAAGGAATGCGGGGTCACGATGACGTTTGACGCGAAAAATTCCACCTTCACAAGAAGCGGATCGTTTCGACAACAAGGTTTAACCGAACGATTGGAGAGAGCCGTTGATGTAAACGCGCCGAAAGCGGCCCCGGTGAATCCTTTTGCTATTGAAAGACCGCACGCGACGCCTAGTATGTTACAAAGACAGGGGAGTTTTCGTGGGTTGGGAACTTTGGGGCAGAGTTCGCCGTTTAAACGGCAGATGTCGTTACGTGTTAACGATTTGCCGAGTAATGCTGAAAGATTAAATTCTTATAAAAGTGCTGCGAATGGATCGAAACCGGTATCTCCAATTCCTGAAACGGATACTGTAGCTGCTTTATGTCAACAGCTTTCGCAGGGTTTAAGCCAATTGACGCACAGTGGATCTGATGACTTCAATTTTAATAGTCAATCTTCGATAAACCAAAACGTCTCTTTGTCTATAACTAATAACACAACGAGTCAATCAATTACAAGCACTCCAACCTGCGCAGCGAACAATATAGCACCGGTTACGTTAAATTTTAGTGCTAATTCAAATCAGTCCGTTATTTCGTTCAGGAATTCTTCAGCAAATGAATCGAGTACTAGCGAAAGTTTACCAAAACCCGATCAGTGGTTGGGTAAAATCGTTAATTCAACATCGCCATCGACCAGAATGATGGATGGTGTGAGTAGAAGAAGTATGATGGCTGTACATTCGAGAGCGATGTCTTTAGATTCCGCAGAATCATTCCCAAAGGATCAACCGGATCCTTTCGATGCTGAGTGGGCCGCAATTGCCGCTAGACAAAACACAAATAACACAAATCCTTTCTTGACCAGCCCCGCTGCACCTCAAGCGTTTCAAGTACAACTGTAGCATCGAGGAAAATTATTTTATTAAAACAAGAATGATATTTATAAAAGGGAATTGATTCCCAATGAAATTATTGATTACTAAAATAAGAATAAAATGAAATACAGCATTTATTTAGATGGGGATACAGTTTGACATTTCCTAAATATTTGAAATATAACTAAGTCATTCCAAATGATAATTGAGTTAGGAAATAAACTGTAGAATTGAGTAAATTTGAACTAAAATTAGAACTAACAGTACTCAGTTCTAGGTCTACTGTTAGTTCTAATTGCAAGTGTTAATTCTAGTTTTAGTAAATTTGATTCAAAAATAATTAATTTTTTTACAATAAACCTATCGCCCTAATAAATTGATAAAAACTTCGTATTTGTATTGAAAATTGCCTGGACTAAACGGTGCAATTATTGTTTCATGTAAATATCTTAATTCTTGATTTTACTTACATTGCCTCTAATAAGTAGTATTGTCGCGTAAGAATTGTACTTAATGCTGAAAATAGGCGATAAAAATATTGGAAGAAGTATTAAGAAGGATAATAATATATTGAAAGATATATTTTGTATTTATTTAATTTTACTTGTATTAATTTCCGTTTTATTAAGTTTCGTCGAAATAAGAATACATTTAACATCAAGACATATCAATAACATAATGAATTGACTGAAACTGTAAATTAATTGCATTTTGAACTTCGATAAACTAGAGTAAATTTTTACACTTAGCTTTCCGTCCAAAACAACAAAAAAAAAAAAAAAGATTTTTGGAAATTTTTTAATTTATACACTTTTCTCAGAATGAAATAATTTTTACGCAACATTTCTTGTTTTTTGGGTTAGGATCGTTATTAGTTTTAATTTAAATTGTGTATACATTGATGTACTTAACTTTTTTTTTTCTATTGTTATTATTGTAAATATATATATATAGAATTAATTCAGAAGTAAAGATCTATTCGATACCATTTGTAGTATATGCAATAACTTAAAACGTAGAGGTAACGATAAAATTTGTTGCAACAAGCGGAGTGAAGATGGGGACGAATCCTGGTATCTGTGATATGTTAAAACACTGAATAGTGTTGAATAAAAAAAGAAGAAATAAATATTGGTTTAAGCTAAAATAATAGACGACTCGATAATTGTTTAAATGTTAAAAACAGCAGTCGCTTGTTATATTCGTCTAGCCTTAGAAAGCGTAATTTTAAAATGTACAGTGCAGAGGTAGTACTTAAGCGAAATACCCTATACTGTATATAACGCCCAATAACATTTTTAAATAACTTATGGATGTTTCCTGGTTGTCCCTAATATTACTATTATTAAAAAATTAAAAGTATATATCGTTACTGTATTGTTAGTATGTATGCTGATGATACATTATTGGGTACTTAATAAATGTATCTCAATCTATATATGTATTTTTTTTTATTTTTAAAGTTATTCACCAAATAGATATGTAAACCAATTAAGCTCTATTTACGCCAACGTCAGATTTTAATATCTAAGCGCATTTCCAATCACATTTCCTGCTTCTGTTTATTCAATATTCGATAACTCGATAAGGCCGTTTCTAGTCGTTTCGGAGTAAAGAAGGATATCCTCACGAACGTTTTCAGTAATGGAATATTACGAAAACATTTTCAATTCTATGTTGCGATTATAATTGGACCGCGTTATGCATCACTTGACTAAGCCCAATTGAACAATGTTGAGGAAAACGGGATTTTCGTTTTCATCTCTCTAAAAATATGATTTCTCAGAATAGACAGGCTCAAACTATTGAAAATTGTTTGCACAGAATCCGTTTGGTCAGTCGTTTTACGATTATACAGCGTGTTTTTGTAAGTCGTGCCATAAATTTAATTACAAATACCAGAGTCAAAATGATGTTTCATGTAAAAAATTTTTAAGAAAATTATCTAGAGTTTGATGTTGTACTTTTCAATTGGTTTCTATTTTATATAGAATTTAAGTCTAACTAGTTTCGGCCCTTGGCCATCTTCAGAGACTCTATAAACAGATTAATATCCTTCGTCACATTTTACAAACAAGTTTCTTAATATTTCTTTTTCTTTTGTTAGAAAAGATCACATATCAAAGTCGAAATCAGATTATTAGTTACTAATTTACAAAATTAAAGTTTAAAAAATTGTAAAATGAAATGAAGGGCGACTATTAAGGCTTAAAAATTGACGATTTTTTTTAATCAATGTGAAATGACCCAAAAAAACGTTAAAAATAAAAAGAAAGTGCTTCAGGTTTAAAATATCAACCTCAATTTTAACATATTTGTAATCTTCATTAAAAATCCTTTAAAATGAGTACAAACACGCCATATTTATCTTCAATATTAATGAAGTTATGGTCAACTTCCGGTTAAGAATGTCAACGTCAATTTTGACATATTTGCAATCGTCGTGAAAAGTCCTTTAAAATGAGTCCAAACATGATACGTTTAATTCCAATATTACTCGAGATATAAGCAACTTCCGGTTTGAAATGTCAATGTCATTTTGACATACTTATAATTTTTATAAAATGTATTAATATTTGTCATAAAAACAAAAATATAATAAAAAAAAATAAAAAATTAAGGTTGGTATTAATATTTAAAAATTAAATT